AACCTCTAAATTCATTCATAAATTCACCGTGGAATTTAACAATGCGGTCTACCCAGTCAGTTCCAGGAGCTAGGAAGGTTGTGCGGAAGTGCAGAGTGCCTTCTTTCTGTCCAAAGCCTGAGCCGGGGACGACACAGACACCTGTCGCATCGAGGAGACGGAGACAGTAGAACTCGTCTGCCTTACGGCCTGCCTTGGTGGCAGCATCAACGGCCTTGGGTGGTAGATGGATGGTTGGGAAGAGATACATAGCTCCCTATAACACACGTCAGGACGGCGATACATATATATAATGGACATGACATACCTGAGGCTCTTGACATTCAACGCCCTCCATCTTCTTGAAGGCTTCATACAAAGCAAACGCACGCTGCTTGAGTCCGTCGGCAATACTGTTATACTCCTTCTGATATAGTTCGTAGCTCTCCTCACCTTCTACTGGCGGGTGAACCATACACTCGAGCAAACACTGGCCGATCACAGGTGGACAGAGATTGATGCTCACGAACTTGTAGACCTGCTCGACCACTTCAGGTTTGAAACCGACGAGTTCAAAATATCCTCCTCGATGGCCACATTCACCGACCATTCCCTTGGAGACTGAGTGTAGTGAAACTAGCTCAATGCCGTCGTACTTACCAGGGAACTCAGCCTGGAGCTCACGTAGACGTTTCTTGAAGGATGTGAACTCGCCCTTGAAAACGTTGGTCTGGTATACTTCGTCGGCTATGATGACCAGGCTCTTTTCGGCGGCAATATCAATTACATCCTTGATGGCCGCGGGATTGAGGCTGGCTCCCGTGGGGTTTCCAGGATTGATAATCACAATGGCACGAATGTCTGTTCCAGCCTTCTCGCCGTTAGCAAGCGAGGTTTTAATCTCTTCGACATCTGTGGCCCAAGATTGAGATTCATTCAGGTAGTATGGCACGCATGTAGCGTCGAGCAAGGAGAGAGTTGCGGTGTACAGAGGGTATTGGGGGATGGGAACAAGCACTCCGGTCTTTTTGCCAGCGCAGATAACGTTCAGAATAGTGCTAACTCCTGCAGATGCACCGCCAGTCAAGTAGATATCTTTCTGGCTGGCCGGGAATCCGTCTCGGCGGGCGATGAAGTCTGCAACACTTTGTCTGATACCGGGTGCTCCTAGACTCTGGCTGTATGCACCAACACTCTGGACGTCTGCTAGCAGCGTCTTTGCCCGCGCAATAACGTCCGATTTGTACCCAAAGGTTGACTTGAGGGCTTCTTCGTTCTGGAGGAGGGGAGGGTACTCCAAGAGACTCAGCACCTGGCGGGAGAAGGTGATGGGTTTTTGTTCGAGCTGTTGCGGATTCCCGATGTTGGCGAAGATGACCTTATCGAATGGCAGCTTTTCCCCTCTTTCAAGAGCGAGTCGGTACTCTTCTGCTTTCACCGCCAGCTCTCCTCGGACAGCATACTGCGCGTTGATAACGTTGGGGTTGATATTGGTCCTGTTCATACGGGGAGTCGCCATGGCGGAGTATCGACGAAGGAGGGCGGTAGCTTGATAAATATGTCAGTACGGCCTGCGTATAATATAATTGTATAAATATATCGAATCTTGTCTATATGTATTATAGCGATATAAGATGATTGGGAAGAAATGACTATAGGTGCAAATGAGGGACTGCTGCCCGCCTTTTAATAGTCGTGGGCATAGGTTGCCTGACTTTTGCTTTTTCATATGTGGGGGAAAGAGATACGAAGCAGTCAGACTGTCATATCATGCCTGGCCAACGCCGACTGGACTTACAAGCACACTGTGACCGAGGCGATGCCGGCTTCGCAGCCAGATGGACACCGGGGAAGCAAAGAAGACGTCCGTGGCATCGAGAGAAAAAGCAATCATAGGCGGTTGACCATGCAGTGGTAAAGCCCGGTAGAGCGCGAAGAGAAGCCATGCCGAGCCAACGGTTTATAGGCAGGGAGACAACTGACGGTAGGGGGGAGAGAGAAAGAAAGAGAAGAAGATGAATTATGACATGGCTTATTTTCTAATTGTTGCTGGACGTAGTGTCATTCGTATCAATTTCAATTGAGCGGCTCTTGATGGTTTTGATAGTCGCCATAGCCTTGGCGGTTTGAGAAGATGGAGGGACAGGGGTTGGATATACGATAATGAAGTTTAGAGAGAGTATGTGGGCGTAGAAATAAAGGCGGAATGGAGTCAAGAGATCAGGGGCTGTATATTTCTATCTAGGCCGATGTTGTTGTGGGTTAAGGACATGAACAAAATAGCTGGGCTGGAGCCACGAAGTTAGCCGCGCTCACTGCCTCTCAACCTCACAGCCTGGCCGTATTTCTGCAGCTTAGTGATTAGGGCATCTCCCTGTTTGACTACATCTGCGTACTGCTTGTTCTTGTCGTCTGGTCTGTTAGTCTCAATGATCCCGTTGACCCTGTCAATCGTGCACGATATCCGGTCTCCGGCAATAAACTTAGCAAGGTCCCTATAATCAATTAGTATACTGAGCGGAAGTAGGCGCTGGAAAAAGTGACTGAGGGGGCTGTTGACTGGGGAGAAGTAAAAGAAACATACCGGTCTAGGAAATCGATAGTGACACCGAAGTCACCGGCCATACTCGCTAGGCCAACAACGCGGTAGCTCTGCAGTAGCTGCTGGTAGCCGCGTAGCCTCATCTCACGCACAAACCAGGCACGGTGCTCGAACAGATACCTGTCCTGGCTAAGGAAGTTATCTTCCACTGCTGCCAATGCGGAGAAGAATGAGCGATACTGGCCCATGTAAAGGCTGCTAACCAGTTTGGTCAATGAGGTAAAGTCGACGGGCGCTTCAGCTTCGGATTGGACGCCAGTCTCGGTGCCTAGCGTGGTAAGGTTGACCACTTTGGATGCTGTGGCTGGTGTGGGAGTGGCACTGGTCTCCACGTCTGTCATCTCTTCATCACCTGCTCCGGGACCTGAGGAGAGAGACCCTGACAGCGCAGATAGTCTGTCCTCACCTTCTCCTAGAAGAGCCTTGATCTCTGGTGCATCAACTACCTTGGCCTTAAAGTCCACACGTCGAAGAGATAGCGAACCAGCGAGAACAGCATAAATGACCAGATTGGAGTAACTGCAGAGTTCATAACTGGTGAATGTCGATAGACTGTCGAGGAGTAGAGGTGCTGCAAGGTTGTAATTGCGGATAGTAAGTAGGTGAAGACCCTTATAGGCCTTTAACCGATTTCGACGGTCCCAGTCACCACCAGACTCAACAAGAGTGTTTGCACGGTCTACAGTTTTCTTGACGAATACCTTATCACCAAAGAAAAGTCCAATACGGACCATAGCGAGCACAATATCAATCTTGGTGCCTAGGATACCAGTATTTTCAAACACAGCCTCATAAGCCGCGATAGCTTTATCCTAAATCAATCGAGCATGTAAGATTGGTGTCAGGTAAGGATAGGGTAAGAAAATATGATAGCATAATACACACCTTATCGCCTACTCTGGCCCAAAGTTCTGCCTTCTTGCCCCTTGCGGCTTGTACTTCCGTCTCACCGGCCGCCTCAGCCGCCTCTTCCTCCTCCTTCGTCAACCTGTCCAATTCCCTTTTATTCTCGGCAACCAGGCGATCATAGAGCTTCTCATCCCACACTAAATCCGACCTGCTAGTTGATGGTCTCCGCGCCAGCATGTCCGACATCACTACCACCCCAGTGCTGCCGGGGCTTGATCCTGCTGCTGTAGGGGACTGTGACGAGCCTTCCCCAGTGCTATTGAGTACACCTTCTACCGGATGAGCAAGGTGTCTATATAGGGGCGCCATGCTGTGCTCTTTTATGGCGGCCTGAAGCTTCTTCAGCGAGCTCTGGCGTGAGGAAGCGTGGCATGCTGGGTTTGAGAGGTTGAATATGTCTTGACTGAGGGAGAGGTCGGGGTATTTGGCAAACTGCGGGTCGGAACCCATGGCGACGGAGAGTGAGTAGTGAGTGCGTCGGCGACAGTTATATCTGTATCTCAGTCGTGGGTCCGCTGAGGAAGAAGGCGTTTTGGGTTGCTTGCTGCCTGCTTGTCTGCTGTTCTGCTGGCTGTTGATGTTGGTGATGTTAAAGCTGGAGCTTTAATTTGGTTCGAGCCCTGGAGCTCCCGCGGTCACGTGGTAGATCGTATAATATACTGCTAAGATACTCTGTAGACTGTGTAAAGTAGAAAATATTGATTACAGACTAAGAACTAAGGTATTATGCAACCTTCTGTAAGGTAACTAATATGGCACAGAGGTGGAATGGGCAGACACTAATTTTTTTCTTTCTTCTTTTTTTGTTTTTTACTATGGGAATGCTCGCTTCGATTTGATGTTAGAACGTGCTTACTAAAGCCCAATAATCAAAAGCGGATAATCTAGTCACGTGTACATATTATTAATAAATTACATAATACATTCTAACCCAAAACAGGGCCTTTGCCAAGACCAAAACAACCTCCCAAAAGCGGCTAGCGTCAGTGCTCGCTCTGCCCGCGATTTCATGGGAAGACGAAGCAACGCCAGCGATATCAAGTAAAGCGACAGACGAGGGCGACGGCTACGGCAGCGGAGGACTCGACCTGGCTACCTGCGACCAATATACGCACAGTGAACGCTTAGGACATTGCGCCATTTACTGCTGAGGAGATATCCTGACGGGAGTGAGACAGGAGAGGCTGTTTGGATCTCCGCGCGATAGGAACCCCCGAGCTTACGGCGGATTGACATCAACGAAAACGACGAGAGACTGCCTGGACAACTTGAGGAGCTGCCGTGGGATGCGATGGGATTGCGTGCTAGATGAATTGGAATTTATCGTTAACGCCGAGGAACCCGTAGTTGCGCTTGAAAGACGGCGGGCAGACACGCAAGTTGAACAATTCGAGGGATAACTGCGCCGGCTGAATAGCATTTTCAGAAAGGACAGGAAAACCTGGCTCATTACGGCTGAATCAGCCGCTTAATGCTTCTATTTTTCATCGTGTTTTGACAATTCCTGGACATGACTGCCGTCCTCGTGGCTACATGCACTACTACGACGGGACTCGAGCATCATCTTGGAAATATCAGCTGCAGGCCCGGCGGCGCACCGATACAGAATAGAGGAGTCACAGGAGACCAGGAAAAGCTGTTGCTAAGGATACGCGCCGATACACAACAGGCCCAGCAGGATTTATTGACTGGATCGCCAGGATTGGCTATGTCACAGACGCGCGGGAGGGGGAAGACATCCGTGACCGCTAAACTTCCCTCCTCAGCGGCCAAAGAAAATGTAGTGGGGAGGAACGGAATAAGTGGGTTGGCTGCGAAGAGGAAAGCGAGTAAGAATGCCTTTATCTTTGTACTGGTCGTAATGTTTGAGGGTTGATTCTTTACTAACGTCCATGGCCCCTTCAAATAGTTGATTATGATGAGGATGTCGAGGGTTTTCAGTTCACGCGTGCTGGGAATGTCAAAAAACCGAAGCAGACAAACGGGGTTCTATTGAATGGAGCATCAGACGGTAGCTCAACTCCTGAACTGAGTAGTGCTGCCTCTGTCCTTCGGCAACAGAAGAAAAAGCCTGTAACGTCACGAAAACCGAACGATATTATTGAACCGTCGTCGGAATCCATCGATAATAGAACTATGAAACCCAAATCAAAACGACCGGTCCAAGACAGTACTGAGCCAATGAACCAGAAACAATCAAAGTCGCTGAAGAAAATACAGACGCCAGATCCAGGACCTATACATGTGGCTAAGAAACGAAAACCAGGTAGCAGCAAAGATTCGGCGCCTAAAATAACTCCAAAAGATAACGAGGAAGCGATCCAGAGTACGCCGGAAGAAATACGAAATGCTAGTACCAAAATCGCACTGCCATTCGCCGACACCCCCGTCATCCAGAGAAATAAGGATATGAGGAAAGAAAAAAGCCGCAAAGGCCAGAGGAGAAGCAGCCTTAGTCTTCGTGGTCGTAGAGCGAGCTCCTTGATAGATAGCGGAGTATCAAATGGTAAGTCTTTACATTTTGACATTATTGAGTAATGGACTATTGCTAACGTGAGTGCACACATAGCCTTACCACACGATAAGGTTGACACTGCGCATTTCTATAAACATATAGCTAGCGAGGGGCTTCCTGAGCCGCGACGAATGAGACAATTACTCACTTGGTGTGCCACCAGGGCACTTGGTGAGAAGCCGACGGGGTCACGGTCAGAGGACGAAAGCGCCAGGTTGGCTGGTATGTTATTTTTTGCAATGCTGAAAGGAAGTCAAATTTACTAATCGTATTGCCCGTTTTAGCCCGCGTTATTCAAGAAGAGTTACTAAAAGATTTTGGAGACAGGTCAGACTTGACAGATTGGTTTAGTCGGCCAGAAACAACCACTCCAGCGGTTGTCATTAAAAAACCGAACCCAAAAAATATACAAAACGCCGACAAGATAAAGGAGCTAGAAGAACATATTCGGCGGTGTGTTGAGTTCATTTATACCCAACCTGTTTTCGGATGCTAATATACATTATAGTCTCCAGGCGGAGCGTCAGTCTCTTGCAGCTCTTATACGGCCACCATCGGTACCAAGTATTGGCACTAAATCGGATATCATCAAACCCCCTACATCCAAACCAGACGATAGACCTGAGCCTTTGCGGCATGACCCGCCAGCCATCAACCAATCTCTCCTTGATCCAACTCAAGCGTCAATTTTAAATATTCTTGGCCATTCAGAATCACGGACCAAAGAAGCCTCCTCAAAAACCGCTAACTCCAGCCCTGAAATCGATACCTCCATATTATCAATATTAGAGCGCCTAACACGGCTTTCCACTTCCCTAACACCGGCTCTTGACTCCTTTGCAACTGGCATCCACAATATTGAGATGTTCCGGCAATCCGCAGACAGCCTCAGCAGCCACATATTACGTATATGTGCTCGAAGACTGGAGGAGCGAGATGCACTACAAGGCAAAAATGCTGATGTGTTGACGTTGCCTGGAGGAAAAGAGGACGGCAAGAACAGTCTCCAAGGAACAGTAGTCGGCGGAAGGGAAGATTTAAGCGATATTTTAAGAGCTCTAAGCAGGCTTGAGAGGAGATGAATTTAGCTGTCCTTATCGTCTCAATTCGTGTGCTTGTTAGTTTTTGGTTAAGCGTCGGGGTTCCTCTTTGGTATGGGAACGGATACATATATCGTTGACTTGCGCCAGATACCTTTTGCTTTTTGACTTTTGTTGCTGCTACTGCTTGTTTGTATATATTATGATACCAACATGAAGGATGAACCTGTACTAGGACCGTATACTGCAATTCAGCTGCCTGGCTAATTAATTGACATAAGCGAAGACGACAATAAGAATGTATAAAGCCAAGATAGCAGCTTTGCTGCCGTTAGAGCGTACCAGAAAATGTCATATGAAATAGGGCTAAATAGATCCAACAAACACCGCATTTAGTCGCTCGCTCTCCTAGTCCGCCCCCAAACTTCATCCATACCACTCTTCCCTTTCGTCTCAGGAACCCACCACCCGATAAATGATCCAAGTATGAGTGCCATCGCAGTGAATAGCCAATAAATTTGTCCCTTACCACCCATGTGTTCATTAAGGCTTGGGAAAAACTGGGCAACGATAAATGTAGCTATCCAGCTTGATGCGAGAGCCCAACTTTGCGTTGCTCCAACTGCTTCTGGTCCTACTAGCTCCGAGGCTAGAATGAATGGAACGGGGCCAAGGCCAACTGCGAAGCTTGCTACAAATAAGAGCGTTGCCACAGCCGAGAGGACTTTGAAATTGGATGCTATTCCTATAGCAAGTAGCATAGACATGCTGCCCATACCTGCTATACTAAGCAGGATACATGTTTTCCGGCCGAGTTTGTCGGATAATGGTGCGCATATGACTGTCATAATTAGGTTTAGACAGGATACTAGGACTGTTAGGAGAGCTGCAGTCGTCGGTAGAATAGTAGATAGGAGCGAGACGCTATACATGACGATGCTGTTGATGCCGGTGAACTGTTGTGTAAGCATTATTGCGATGACGGATATTATGGCGGGTCTGTATATTGGATCCATCAACGCTCCAAACATAGACACGGCTTCTTTGGTATGGGAGGCAGTTCTTGACGATGGGTTTGCCAGAAGGGATTCTTCTTCCTCCGTTTCGACGGTTATGGAATCTCTTGGGCCGGAAGGAGCAGAGGTTTCCCAGGTTCTTATTTCTTCACTGATATCTGCTGTAGGGCCTCTTATTCTTTGCAAAATCTTTTTGGCTTGGGCTATGTTCTGGCTATCTGCGAGCCAAACAGGACTTTCGACAACAAATACCAGCCCAAAGAGCTGAACAACACCAATACCCCCGGACACAGCGAGAATAATACGCCACGTGCTTCCTTTACTGAGAAAATATCCTAATACCTGCGTTAATAAGATACCAATATTGGCCATAACTTGAGTTACGGCGCCAAACATCCCCCTGCTGCTCGATGGAGAGACTTCGGAAACGTAGATTGGCCCAACCACGAGAGAAGCACCTGATCCGATACCAGACAAAAACCTCCCTGCCACAAACAGGGAGATGGGGAAGGCAACAGTTTCAGCAAGCGGGCCAAGGATGAAGAATATTGTTGAGGACCGAAGAACAAGTAGTCGCCCGTACTTAGTAGAGAGTGGCCCGGCCAGGAGGGCTCCGAGAAGTCCGCCTAGGGTATAGCTCGAAGAAACAAGACCAAATAATTCCTGGCTCATCGGAATACATTGAGGCAGTTTAGATGATAAAATGTGATCCTTCTCGCATGTTATCACAGCCTTAGGGGCATTAAGCTCAGCCTAATACCGTAGGAGACCATAATATTTGCATGTCAGCCAATACATCAAAAAGAAGACAGATACCCCGCACTTTAACGTAACAGGAGTGGGAGAGCAGTGATGAGATAAAGTTATATTTACCAAGTGATATCCAAACTGTAGAGAACCAAGGGTCACAATGGTGATAATAAATACGAGGTATGAGGATATCGCATTGGGACGCAAAGCCGGAGCCATCTCGTCTTTTGAAGGATAAAACTTAAGCTATATATCCTTGAAACGGGGGACTCATCACCATCCTAGAGCCTAACTAACCAGTATATGTTTAGCTAAAGAGAGTAGTGTTCATCGTCTAGTCTAAGCTGTTGTATGTAGATCCGGCGTAGTTGAAGGACTTGATGAAGTGACGTTGAGAGCCGAGGCGCCTATGGTGGAAATGCTTAGTCAGCAGCAACATGAAAAGGGGTAACGGAAGTAACAGGGAAGAGAACTTGTAGATAAGCCTTACTTGTCCAGAGAGAAATGGTATAACGGATAAATGGCAGGAGAGAGGGAAATTGGGTCTATTTGAGGGTTGAGATAGCTACTCACAGAGGAAACCAGCAGGTGAAAGATTACAAATGATTATTAACTAGCAGTTTACACGAACAGATTCACTAACAAACAGGACAGTTAAAATGTCTAGTTAACAAAGTTGTGGGAGAAAAGAGGCCGAAAGGAGCTGATATCCTTTATTCCCATTCTTCTACTCGCCTATCGAGTAGACACAATGTGGTCCTTGGAGTTGCTCATTGAGATTTCATGACCAACCATGAACTGGCTCCATCCCATCTTTTTAGCTAATCCCATCCATTTCAGGGCCGGCATGCCTTCCAGCTTGGACACAGCTTCGTCTTGTGTTATCTTATCGGCAAAGTCCTTGATGCTGACGTTGAGAGCACTAGAGTGTGTTAGGACTTCGGGATGGCTTAGTTTGATAGCCTCGTCAAATAAAGACCTCACGATGTCTCCCGCAATTCGTTCGAGAGGAATTATGCCTATACTGCCAGTTAGACCATCTAGATCTGGTTTTCTCTGAGACTGCCTGGCAAGAGAAAGGAGTTCATTTAAGATTTCGTCTGGAACATTAGTTGCGGCCCCAGAGGCCTTCGCCGGGCGATGCAAGACAACTCTCAGATCGAGCTCTTGCGTGGCGTTGGCGAGCACTTTTTCTGCTGCCCACTTAGAGGCAACGTATCCATCATGTCCACTGGCAGGTGGAAAGCCTCCTGAGTACAACGTAACTCCTCCCGAAGAACAGAAGTGAATAGGGATCTTGCGTGGGTGTGCAATCTTCACAATTTCTTTGACGCTAGAGACATTTGTAGCACGCAGATGGTAATAAGAATCCCAGAATGAACGGTTGGCACCAACGTGTAAGATTGCATCGAGTTCGCTTGAAAGGAGCGTCGCCTCTTTTTCGGATAGACCAAGACGAGCTTTGTCGAGGTTACCATGCTTAATGATCATCTTTCCTTTAGGATCGGGAATGCGAGTCAAGATTGAGATATCGCTTTGCGGGCGTACAGCCAATGTATATATTTTGGATATGCGGTCATCCGCGACCAAATGGGCAAGAACATTTCTACCAAGAACACCAGTAGCTCCAGTCATCATAACTACCATATCTTTCTGTTTCGGAGGTGAAACATCGGCGTTAGACTTAGGTAGCCTTGGAAGATCGGTTTCGACAGTCCAGTCTAGCTCCTTGACCCCAAGGGCGTCATCAATTAAGCGAGCCATGTTTTGGAGGGTCCCCGCATTCATTATATCAAAGAGCTGGATGCTAACGCTGAAGCTTTGGCGTATCATTGCTTGCAGTTTAACAAGCATTAGAGAATTACCTCCAGCATGGAAGAAGTCGGCGCTGGGTGTTAACGAGCGGGCTGCTGGAATTATCTCGTACCAAAGCCCAGCAAGATGGGATTCGGTTTCGGTCTGTTCAGTTAGCTCCTCTGTTGACTTCTTTTCTGCCTCCGGGATCGGGAGAGCCTGCACTGCTTTCCGGTCAACCTTGAAATGAGCTGTGAATGGAACATTGTCTAAGGCAACAAAGACAGTAGGAATCATATACTGCGCTAGTGGTAGAATCGTTGGAAGTCGGGCAAGCAATTCATCGCGATATTCTGTATACGCTGTGGAGAACACAACGTGTGCTACTAAGAAGGCGGAGTCTTGTTCTCCACGCACGGTAACAACAGCATGGGTAAGGGCACCCGTCGAAGCTTGAAGTATGGTGCTTTCAATGTCTTCAAGTTCGATACGGACGCCCCGTAACTTGATTTGGGTATCACCATCTATTCGGCCCTCAAAGAAAAGAGCCCCTTCTTCGGTAAGACGGCCCTTGTCTCCGGTACGGTACACCATCCCTTCTCCCCCAAAGTTGTTTGCAATGAACTTCTGTCTAGTTAGTTCATCATTGTTTAGGTAACCCCCGGCCACGCCTACACCTCCGATAACAATCTCACCAGCGAAGCCGAGAGGGAGGGGGTTCATCTTAGGATCCACGATAGCGACAGAGTAATTTGGCAACATGAAGCCTACTGGTGCTTGTGTACCGACCACCATAGAACGATATGGCAACTCAACCTTAGCACAGGACATCGTGATTTCAGCGGGACCATAGCTGTCAAGGAGTCTGATCGGCATCCCCAACTTTCGGAATTCTTCAAGGACAGCATCTGAAGCAACTTCCCCTCCAAGAAGGGCACACTTCCAAGATTTGCATTTCAGGAGATTGTCTCTTGCGTAACGGAACCACATTAGATATTCTGACGGTGTAGTAGCAGTATGCGTTATCCCCTCTAAGGCCATGATATTAGTGATTGATATAGGGTCACCACGCTGCTCCGCCGGAACAACATAGAGGGCACCACCATGTACCAATGCGGTAAAAATCTGTTCGAGCGATTTGTCGAAAGAGTAGGCGGTTTGGTGAAGGACGTAGGAGGCAGAGCTCTTCAAATCAAATTGTTTGGAGCAGCCTTCTAGCTGTTTTACGATGCTGCTGTGATTGATATGGATGCCTTTGGGGGTCCCTGTTGACCCACTAGTGAACAGAATAACCGCGGGTGCGCCAGGTTTGGCAATGTTCGGCATGAATGGGCTGTCGGTAGGTAGATTGGTTATATCCACGACTGCGGAGGCTGAAGTATTGATGTGTTCCACATCTCCGAGAGTTTGGCTATGAGCAAGAATTGCTTGAGGTTGGATTTGATCGACAATCGCAGCAAGACGAGGGAAGGGAGTCCGGAGATCAAGAGGAACATAAACAGCTCCAGCACGGAATATGGCAAGCAGTGAGCAAACCCAGTCGGCAGTGGGCTGTTGGAAGACAGCCACCTTGTCACCCTCAGTAACATTAGCTGTAACCAAGGCGGAGCAAATGGAGTTGACACGGCGTGCCATCTGTGAATAAGTCATGATCTTTCCAGTTCCATCCTTGAGACAGATATTGGTGCCATGTTGAGACACTACATCATCAATATGATGCATTACCGTAGCGGCCCATTGATATTGCAGTGCAGGGCCTGAATTGAATTAACTTCTCGTTTCTTCAAAGTTATGATTTGGGAACTTACCGCGGCCGACTTCAATTGCATCATTAATTGTCTTACTATCCCAAACATCCGGTGCATTCCAGTTTACAGCTGGGTTATCAGCAAAGGCCATCAAGAGGTTCGCATAGCCTTCTAGCAAAAGTTTGGTATGTTTTGCCGTGTATAGACATTGCTGAAGGCGTAGTTCAAGGCGGGTATCACCAGTAGCATTTTCAACAATATCGAGAGTCATGTCATAGCCAGTCCTCGCAAGGTGCCACTTTTCACCTATAGCATCAAGACCCATGTACTTCTGTTTCTCTTCGACACCTTGTCTGTAGTCCACGAAAACCTGGAAGATGGGAGTGGAAGTTGCTGACCGAGGGATTTTTAACTCATCCAGAAGTATGTCAAAAGGTAACTTAGAATGGGCCAGTCCTTTGTACACTTTGTTTCGGACCTGTTTTACAGCGTCTCCAAACTTATCTGCCGCATCGCGTTCGAAACGTACTGGAAGGAGGTTGAGGAAGAACCCAAGGGTGCTGATAAATTTGTCATCCGTCCTATTTGCGTCAGCAACTCCGATGAAAAATTCATCACAGTCGTCTAATTGACGGAAAACAAGAGCCTGGAGGACTGCAGGATAGAAATGAAATGTTGTTGAGCTAAGAGATCGGGAAGCAGCTTTGATTTTCCTTGTCAGTGCTGGCTCAAGGCGAATGTCTGCGCTATGGGTACCGTAGACATCCAGGGGCAATCGTGTGCTGGACTTTGCAAATGGAAATAGGGGGATAGGGCTGAGGTTTGTAGGAATAATTTCACGGTAATATGCGAGGTCCGCATTCATATTACCATTATCCCAATCTTCACGTTGTTTTCGTGCAAACGCTCCGTACTGTGCAGATTTAGAAATAGCAGGCAGCTTCTGTCCTTCGTATGCCTTTTCAAGGTCACTATAGAAAATGTTGAAGCTGAATCCGTCCATGCCAATGTGGTGACATCCAATGACAAGGTAGTGCATCGTTTCAGAGGAAGAAAGCAGGGATACTTTCATGGTTTCCCAACTATTTAGGTCCCATACATGGGATCTGATTTCATCAAGTTCCCTGTAAGCGCCAGATTCATCCTTACAATGCTTAACAACAAGTTTGACTGCGGAAGTTGGAATAACCCCTTGCATTGGATTCTCCATATATTCACCGGTTGAAAAGTATCTTGTGCGAAGGGCATCATGCCTTAAAACCACAGTTTCCAAGGCTCTCTCCATGTCTTTAACACGAATACGCCCACTAAGCCTGACCAAAATTGCCATGTTGAACGTTGTTTTATCCTGGAGGGCTTGATTAAGGAACCAAAACCGCGATTGCCCAAAGGACATCATTTCGGTGACTTCTGATTTAGCTAAGCTGTCGAAGCTTTGGTGATCAGACTTGATTTCCTTGACTTCAGTTGATAGTGATATGGCTGGTTTCGTAGTTGTGGTAATAGCAGGAATAGATATTGCTGATGGGTTGACATTTGTAATTTTGAAATTGGGTTCGGCCTCTTGCGTAGATGCAGCTGACTTATGTGCCATAACTGGTTTAGAAGAAAGGGTGGGAGTCTCTTCAGGTAGTGCAGGTTTGCTATTGGCTTCGACTTTAGCCCCTTCGGCTCCTAGGTTAGGGGTAAGGTCAGGGGATATCCGCAGCATGGCATCATTTATCAAATCAGAGACCGATGAACCACCTAAGACTTTGAGAACTGGCATGTCGATATCAACTTCTCGGATAAACCAGGTTCGAATCTCAACTGCAACCAGTGAGTCGACCCCCAGCTCTACAAGTGAAGCTGTTGCATTAAAGTCATCCTCTTCTGGGATACGTAACATCTTCTTGATTCTTCGTGTAAACCCAGCTAATGAAATGTTAGTCACTGTTTTTCTGGAAAGAGTAATGTAAGTCTTACATTGCATGATATCGCAAACTTCTTCCTCTGTTGTCGCCGTAAGAAGCTGAATCCTAACGGGAATTTGGGCAGATGAAGTGCTATCCTGTTTGGCTGAGGTACGTTCCAGAATCAAGTGGGAGAACTTGCTATCTTTTAGGTAGGATGCTCTGATATCTCCATCCGCATATGTAGGAACAACGCCGGATACGACTTCGTGGCTTTCGGTCGTCCCTGGTCTTCCTCTGACGATTGCTTCTGCAAACAAGGTGTGAATGTCCTGTTCAGAAACATTTCTGTATCCAGATCGAGAAAATTGGTCGATATCTAGATCTTCGGCGCGCTCAAAATAGCCAAGGCCAATAAGGGACGAAATTGCGATAACGGATGCGGCAAGACCCTTACGACGACGCTGCAAGCCTAGAGATTCCATGAAACTGTTGGCGCCTATATAGTTACTCTGACCAGCGTTGCCAATTAGGGCTGTAATGGAAGAGAACAAAATAAAAAAGTCAAGGATATTCTCCGAGAAAAGGTTATCCAGGTTGATTGCTCCAAGGACCTTTGGCCTTAGGGCTGCCATAAGGTCGTCATAACTCATCTTCTGAAAGAGACTGTCAACCAAAACCATAGCTCCGTGTGCAACTCCACCAATAGGCGGCATGGTGCGGCATATTTTGTTATAGCAAGCTTGAAGAGCATCCGCGTCCGTAATATCCCTATGCCTTGTTAGAATAATTGACACCTTTTAACATTGATAAACTTACAGCGGCATTTGCTTTATGGTTGCCCCATATTCGTCTTCCATACTTTCGATCCACTGAGCATTTACCTTAGGTCTCCTGCTGGTAAGAACAACATATCTCGCCCCTCGGCTTATCATCCATTCTGCGAGGGACTGGCCCATTTCTCCAGACAAACCAGCCATGAGGTATGTTTTTTCTGCACTGAAAAGGTTGGTGTAAGGGTCAATAGGCTCGACAGTAAGCGGTATTTGGGTATCGACCGCCCAATCGACTACTAATAGGCATTTGTTTTTATCAGAATACCCAGGAACCTTATCCAGAGGCAGACTAGACCTATTCTCAGGCACCATGAAGTTAGCAGCCTTAGAAATATCAAAGCCTGTGGATAAATATTTGGAGACAAGGTCAACGTCGGAGCCAAAGCATCTTGCAACCTTGTTTCCGAAAAACATATATCGGTTTGATTGTTTGCAACAAACCGGCAGGCAGTCCAGGAGGTTAGATATAGCCTGCTCGTCCGAGCAATTGGAAAAATTGATGAAAAGGGATACTTCTTTAGGCAACTGCTTTCTCAGCAAACGGCGAGGGGTTTTAGGATGAATATAAGTCCACTGTGGCCCCTTCTTTGAAGTTTGAGTAGTAGTGAAAAAAGTTTGAATCTTTTTCGACACAGCTTGCTTGCTAATGGCAGCAGCTACAATTTGGTCAGGTTCATGGACTAAAATAGTACTTTTCGCTATGGCGTCCTCGATGATCAGATGTGCAACGAGATTAGCAGCAATTGAAAGAAGAACTTGTGCTGAATTGGCCTCCCCACTGTATGGTATGGTCCACGGCTTTGGAATATGAACCACCGACTTGCTCTGATCTGAGAGAGCGATGACATTTTCACCGGAGTTATTCTTGCCATAGCACAAGAAGAAGTGTCCCACCAAAGGGACTTCCACGGATTGAAGCAGGGACTTCATTACAGTAATTTCACTATCACCATCAGACCCAGCAGTAGGCTTAAGAGGAGATAGTTCGAAAAGGTCGTATGAGTCTCCCTTCATGGTCAATTCAATACAGGATGAATTGGCAGGAACTTCGTGAGTAATACGGCGTTTATATGAATTGTATCGGTCATTCAGCTTATCTGCAGACATAAGTCTGGGGGTATAAATTTTGTTATTCTCCAGATGATACTCAGATTCATTACTCCATAGAATGGATCCTGGAACAAGTCGACTGTTTGCCTCATTGAGATTGACGTGTCGGAGTAATGTCTCCGCAAACAGCTTAGCAGAGTTTGAATCCAGTAAATCAACGTCAAGTGCCTGGAAGTTGATTCCAGAATACTCTCTGCGGAGGGTGCGCGCCATGCCGACCAACATGCGGGAGAACGGGCTCTCCGATCTGTTGCCTTTGGTGACCCAAAGGATCTCCCTGGGGGTTGAAAATACCTCCTTAACGCCATCAAGCTTCTGGGGTTGGTTATCCATGAGCTCTTTCATAATTGGTACATCCAGCTCAGCCAAATTTAAGACTGTGGCAACCGTGTCGCTCTTGCTGTTGCTAAAATCATCAATTGAAATTACGTTTGAGATCGAACTGAAATGCGGCTGTAGGATATTCGCACATTCTGTAACGATGCTGGCAACTTCATCAGTACTTCCACCTATAATAACGAGATTGTCGCGTTGTGGATGAGCGTGTTCAGGGGAGAGAGGATCTCTAAGAGTGTAGATTTGGGAATCCACGGCCTGGGTCACCATAACAACCAAGTGATCTATAGAGTCAATGTTGGGAGTGAAGGTGTCAACACCGGACCATCCAGTTCGCCTGTACACTTTATCCCATTCATCCACGGTTATTGTTGGGCCCCATGGACGACCTGTTTCAGCACCACACCACCAGCCTGGGAAGCCAGACATCGAGAAACCCTCTCGTAAGCTTGGGAAGTATGTGGCCACCTCCATGTTGATTAACCAACCACCTGGTTTCACAAGTTTGCGCACATTGGACAAAGTCAAATCAATATCAGGGCCAACATGTAGAACGTTTGAAGCAAGAACCATATCGTAATGACCTTCGGTAAATCCCTGTTCGCTGAGATCTTTTTCCATGTCAAGAGTTTTGAAAATCATGCGATCTGCATATTGGCTAAATCTCTCCTCTGCCGCCTCGAAAAATCCAGAAGAAATATCCGTGAACGTATAAGTTGAAAATGCATTTCCTAAAGTAGGGAGAATCATTCTAGTTGATCCGCCCGTACCGGCACCAATTTCGATAATATTCATTCGTGGATATCGGTAAGCAACTTGAGCAGCGAGGTTTGCTTCCCACTGGTTGGTGATATCCAGGCCAATAGCCTCTTCATAGAAGCGATCCAGGATGTTATCCTTCAATGCATACTCGTGAATATTTCCACGAGTGCGAATAACATGAGCAATATTTTGGCCAACTGCTCTGAGAATACCAATATCAGCACGATCTCCGGCATCGGCAACAAGAGACTCTACATAATCCAAGGTATCATTCACAGCGTCAGGCCCAACAAAGGGGTGCTCCCCATCAATAACTTGCTTGTGCACAAATCTGCACCACCTAAGCATATGTTTGAAGTGTGGAAGAGTTTCCTCCTCCTCTTCAGTGGTGATGGTATTCAGGAGTTGGTTGATCCAGTAGAAAGAGAATCTCTCAGAAACCCTCGCAATATGAGCGTCAGACTCGGGTAAACGATGGGGAGAGGCAATAGCGCCGTCCGGTTGAGCTAGATCGTAGACAAGATTGGAGAATAGCTTCACATCGTTCTCTCCCGAAGCCTTGGCCAGTGGAACAAGGACAATGCCTTCAATTTCCATGAGAATTCCATTCTTATTGGGGGCAAAGACTTCAATGTCAGCTGTAGGGGTATCATGTGTTCCACTGGTCACAGCAGCTTGCCAAGGCCAAACGACTTCTTCACCTGGTGGAAAAACTGCTAATGATGGATTAATTGATAGCCGGTTGATTTTAGTAGGAACATGGATAGACCAGAGCCGGTCATCTCCGGGAGAGCTGAATGCAGCAAAGACAGCTTGGAAACTGGTATCAACAAAACCAGGGTGCATAAGGAAATTGTCTTCCCATGCTTCGCCGCGAGCATCAGTGATTTCTCCAACTGCTGCATCCTTCCTGCGAAGAATGGAACTTATTGCCTTGAATGGCGGAGAATAGTTATAGCCCATGTCCGATAGATACTTGTAAAATCGGTCAATATCAACACTTGTCATGTTGAACTGAGGCATCTGAGAAGCTGAAAGGGCGTTAACAATGGGGTCACCGAAATGAAGGGATATCTTTCCTTTTCCGTTAAAAGTTAGTACGTTATCACCCTTGGGGCATGATGATATCTGAAAGCTAGCGCTGACAGAATCCTGGTCGGATGACAAGACATTAAGGTTGAAGATAAGCTCTATCCCAGAAGTATCATCGAGAAATGAAATAGCACGAGCAATGTCAACATCCTCCAGTTCAATCAGTTGCACGTTCCGGTTGCTCGCAAGAGTCATTATAGCCTCAATCGCCATACACACATATCCAGACGCAGGGAAGACATTCTGGCCCTGCAATCGGTGACCAGGTATCCAAGTGATTTCTTTGGGGAATAGGATATTTCTCCACTGGATTTGTGTTCCTGTAGTGCCTTCAACAACATTTACACCCAGCATCGGATGTGGGGCCTCGCGAGTAGTATAGGAAGTAGCTATACGGGAATCGAGCCAGTAGCTCCTTGAGTGATCCCAGGAATATCCAGGAAGTTCTCCTGACAAATTATTGCGTTGAGCACCTGAAGACATCATTTTATCATACCCTTCAAAATCGACAGCAGATGGGCCAAAATACTCCCAGATGTAGCCGAGAGCAGAGGAGAATGCCTTGACATCATCGACACCGCGCGACAAGAGGCCAGTATAAGGTGTACCACCTACACCAGTAGCTTGCTCCAAGTTTTCCAGGCATGGTCCTTTCAACGCGGGATGGGGTCCAATTTCAATAACCAAGTCAAATGGACCTGACTCCTTCACAGCAGTAATCCCAGCCTGTGAAAACAAAACGGTATTATTCATGTTGTCAGCCCAATATTGGCCGTTGAGGTTGGCGCAGGCCATCTTCGTATCGGGGATGACTGAAGAGTACCACGGGATAGACGGGTTTCCGTCTCTAAACTCAATGGAACAGGAATCCATTGCCTTTAAATACATTTCAGAACACGCATTCATGTGGAATGAGTGGTAAGCGGTATCCACTCTGAGCTTGCGAACAAACTTAGACTCGTCCTTGAACACCACTAGAGCTGCATCAATTGCATCCTCATCTCCTGAGAGGGTCACACTGGTGGCAGCATTGCTTGCTGCAACAGTAATACGGCCGTAAAACTCCTCAAGCTGGCAAAATTCTTCAGCATCTTCAAGAGTTGTACCAACTGCCATCATTGCTCCTTTCTTTCCAGAGGAAGAACTAGCGAACTTGGCATACAGGCCACGGTAGTAAGCAACACGGATAGCGTCTCGAGCGGAGATAAATCCAGAAGCATAGGCAGCGGCAATCTCGCCAGAAGAGTGCCCGATCACAGCCTTGAATTCCAAATTGGTGCCAGCAGCTTTAAGTAGATCTACCAGGACAATTTGAACAGCAGTACAGAGTGGTTGAGAAAGGGCAGCTTCAGAAAGGCGAGAAGACCGCTTATCAGCCTCAAGCTCCCCCCGGATGGACCAGCTGGGTCGATCCGCTTCAGGGAGCTCTTGAAGAGACCGGTCGAGATCGGCGATAATGTTTCGAACATGAGCGGAGGCTTTGATAAGTTCGCTACCCATAGTTGGCCACTGAGCTCCTTGTCCAGTGAAGACACCAAGCACCGTCAGTTTCTCAGGGCCTGAAGATCGAACACCCAGACCCTCCTTTTGTTTACGGGCTGTATCGATGGTGGCAACGATATCAGTTGTTGTTCGGCCAGAGATAGCGATCTTATAAGCCAGCGCCGAGCGCCGCTTTTGCAAAGTCCAGGCAATGTCGCTAAGATCAGGAGAGTTTTCTTGATTCAAAAACTCGGAGAATGCATCAAGGATCCCTCGAAGGCTCTTCTCTGAGTGTGCTGAGAATATTAGGGGGGTGAAAAGGGGCGTGTTGTCGCATGGCTTGTGTGACTCAACCAGTTCATAACTTTCAAGAATTGCGTGAGCATTAGCACCACCGAAGCCAAAGCTGTTCACGGAGGCACGCATTGGCTGGCCAGCTGGGGGGCATGGCCACTGGCGGCTTGTCGTTGGAACTTGAAGATTGGTGTAGAAAGGCTTGACCTTCTCGGCAATCTGGTTAAAGTGCAAGTTTGGCGGAATAGTCTTGTTTTGTAGGGCAAGAGAGGTACCAATAAGACTGGCAAGGCCAGCTGTGCCTTCAGTATGGCCAATAATGGTTTTGATAGACCCAACCCAGAGCTTCTTTTCAACAGTTTGGTCATCATTGAAGAACGCTCGGCTAATTGCTTCGGCCTCTTGCGGGTCTCCAGCAGGAGTACCAGTTCCATGCGCATGGAAGAACTGAGGCTGGTCGTTGGGATCTAAGGGGTCAAGGCCAGCCTTTTTGTATGTTTCTCTAATCAAGGCTGTTTGAGCAAGGTTGCTCGGCATGGTTATACCAGTAGTGCGGCCATCCTGGTTGAAGGCAGTCTCCCGGATGACACACTCAATATGATCACCATCTTTGATAGCCTGGCTCAGAGTCTTCAGTACCACAGCCGCAAGGCCTTCACCTCTCGCGTAGCCGTTGGCACCTTGATCCCACATCCGTGACTTTCCATCTGGAGAAAGCATTTTCAGCTTACTTTCCGCAATATACATGCCTTGATTTCCAAAGAGTTAGCAATTAGCAAGCCAGATGTGGGGGGTGGACATACCAGGGGTGAGGATCAAGTTGGCTCCACAAGCAACTGCGACATTGCAGTCGCCACTTCTGAGGACCTGAACTGCTTCATGGACAGCTACCAATGAAGACGAGCAGGCGGTATCTATGGTCATGGACGGGCCATGCCAATCGAAGAAGTAGGAGATACGGTTAGCCATAATGGCACGAGATATCCCGGTTGCAGCATACTGCGGTAAACAGTCCCAGTCCTTAGCCAGCATGCCAGCCCAGTCGTCACACATGAGCCCAACATAGCAAGCAGTAGAAGACCCGCGGAGACTCTCCATGGTAACGCCGGCCGCGCATAAGGATTCGTAAACCGTTTCAAGGAGCATACGCTGCTGTGGGTCGATAGCCTCACATTCGTTTGGTGGAATGTTGAAGAAAGTTGCATCAAAGGCAGAAGGGTCTGCCTCGAGGAAATAGGATTTGGTGACGTTGCTAGTACCATGATGGGCGTTATCTTTGTGGTGCCAAACATCAGCATTGAAGCGATTTTGTGGAACAGGTTTCGAGAGATCATAAGGCTCCTTCAGCAATTCCCATAGCTTTGATGGAGTGGTGGCATTGCCGGGAAAGTTGCAGGCGCTGCCAATGATGGCAATTGGCTCCTTGCGTTGAGGCATGGTGGTATACTATGCAGTTGATCGACAGTGGGGGACAAAAAGAGTGAAGAGTGGTTGGCAAGAAGTACTCATAGGGAGAAGAGGGAAGGGAGACCACAGACTAATATTCATCTGTTATTACTGTCGCATCAACCGTGATGAACTTGCAGAAGCAGCATAGTTTGATGACATCCCAGTATTCGGTGTGTTAGTGCAACCGAATCGGTTCATTCTACGACCTTTTTTCGGTGACCCGACGGCCCAGCAGACAGCCCTGGAATAGCAATGTTTTAGCTATAGTAGCCATGGTCCATAAGATCCCAATTGTCAGCCTATGTTTGAAGTTTATTACTTGACAGACTGTGAGGAGGTCTCTGGGTGATACCAATGCAAGGATAAAGGGTATCATCCAAGCCGAAGCCGTATTACCGGCCACATCGTGCTTATCCTGCATTTTCTCTGTCGATTCACTTAGACGTGAAGAGGCAGGGTTGGAGCATCCCTGACTGCTTTCACAATTTCCATATTATTTCAGCCCCAGGCGTATTTTTGTATTGCCATACGCGTGAGACGGGACTAACCCTGGTATCTTCCACTGGAAAGTTACCCCTTCTTTCAGCTGAGAGCTTCGAAGAACAATGCAGCGGTAGCATGGGTTCAAACCAGCTTTTGGGATCTAGCTAGGTGATTTGCCAGTAGCATTGAGAGGGAACTCAAAAGTCACCGTTCTCGGGGAGTTTTCCGGCGATGGGAGGCATCGCGGGAACAACCACGACAACCTTCATGCCGAATCCGTGCTTGCAAGCCCGGCCAATCCATCCATAAGTTCCAGCACCTTGTTGATCTCTAGTTAGCGGGCCAGGCACGAGGAGGCAGGCAAAAATAATGAACTACAGGGAACTCCAGCGTCACAAAGAGTTTTCGAAGCATATTCACCGAAGTCTAGCCATCTCCCAAGTTCTTGTGAGTGCTTGACAGATGGACAATAAAGCTTGAGTAATATTTTGCCGACTAGCGCTTACGCTGGTGCTTGCATTCGGTAGCTGATGGTCTCTCAACTACTTCGTCAGAGGAGCTGGATGCTTCGATTGCGGTCTGCAACGATGTTGTCAACAGATGTCTGGAATTAGTCAAAGAGCTTTAAGCCACACTTTTTAGGGTCACGTTATAAGTCCATGTTATTGACCAATAATATAGCTGCAAATTTAAGTTTAGTTGTGAATTCAGCCCGAAGCTCACTAAATTTCGGGAGAGCTAACTAGTTAGCTACTTTGGTTACTAAGCCATCCAGAAATATCAACCAGATGCTCGCATTTGGCCGTCGAGATAGGATGATTCTTCCCTGCAGCGTCCAGGGAAGATATGTAAAACAGCTTCACATAAATGGGTGTTCCAGGTGTGAGGATTTGTGGCATGAAAAGATCGTCCGATAGTAAGTCACCGGTGCTCGCCCAGGATGATATTTAGCAACCAGGACGCCAGATCTGACAGGTACCTAACTACCTTAACTAGTTTTCCCCAAACAACGAAAGAATCGTACTACTTTGCCTGCAAACAACTGATTCTTTTATTATATCTACGGCCCTATGTAACAAGTAGGCGTCCAGCAAGTACGCCGAAGGGAGTAAGGGGCAACGAAAGTAGAACGAGGGAAAACTCAAATATGCCGTAACGGTGGCAACATGGCATACAGCTGACTCCAACCATGGGTATCATCATAGTTACTTCTACATCTATAACTTGGTATGCACATTCAATATATCTCGTTTCATGAAGTTACATGTACGTCTATTTCCTCTTACGCTCTACCAGGTTGCGGTGTAGACGACCTGTGGTCGTCAGCATTCAAGGTAGCAATCGCCTCCTTAATCAAGACAGAACACAGAGACACTGTCGGAACATGAGCACCGGCCAAGCCACGATTGAAGACTTTGAGCGGGGCAGTGAAGTTGGGGCAGACGAAGAAGAAGTAGAACAAGCAGCCTCACAACCTCCTCCTGTAAATAGCGGCTATCTTCCGCTACCATGGAAGGGCCGATTAGGATATGTCCGCAAGCACTCAACCTTCCACGCACGGATAACGGCTCTGCGGCCTGAATGCCGTTTCTGACCTTTATAGGCATGCCTTAATACCTACCTGCGCAATGCAAATCCTCCGGTTTTCTGCTCCCGGACCTGCCGCATTGCTTCTATTCTTGAAAACCGGCACCCTCTTCGAGACTCATCTCAACCCCGACATGCTACCAAAAACCGTCCAGACCGTACCAAACCTCCAGATATAGTCAGAGGCCAAAAATTTGTGCAAGAGTTGGGTTTAGCAAATACCCGGGATTTGGTAACCATCATCCGCTGGAACGCACGTTTTGGAATCCGCTTCATGAGAATAAGCAGTGAGATGTTCCCCTTTGCGAGTCATGCGGAATATGGATATAAACTAGCTCCATTTGCATCCAAGGCCCTAGCTGAGGTAGGAGCTGTTGCCGCCGAACTTGGTCATCGTCTCACTGTTCACCCTGGCCAGGTAAGGATGCATCCGAATTATAGGTCCTAGTCATCAGACACTAACAAGGGTCAGTTTACCCAACTTGGCTCACCACGCAAGGAGGTCATCAGCAATTCCATCAGGGACTTAGCGTACCATACAGACATGCTAAACCTCTTGAATTTACCGCCTCAAATGGATCGTGATGCAGTTATGATTCTGCACATGGGTGGCACCTTTGGAGATAAAGAGAGAACTCTCAGCCGGTTTAGAGAGGCCTACTTGGGCCTGCCTCAGGATATCAAAGACAGGATTGTCTTGGAGAATGATGATATGAGCTGGACTGTGCATGACCTTCTACCCGTATGCGAGGAATTGAATATACCCTTCGTCCTGGACTATCACCACCATAATATCCACTTTGACCCAGGCCAGATTCGGGAAGGCACGCTCGATATAATGACGCTCTATGATCGGATAAGATCAACTTGGATAAGAAAAGGGAAAACACAAAAGATGCATTATTCCGAGCCCACGCCAGAAGCAATAACTAAAGTGCAACGACGGAAGCATAATGCCAGAGTGTCCACACTTCCACCCTGTGATCCAACCATGGATCTCATGATTGAGGCTAAAGATAAAGAACAGGCTGTTTTCGAGCTGGTGAAGATCTATAAACTCCCTGGTTTCGAAAAAATAAACCATGTCATTCCCCATTACAGGGAAGATTGGGTGAAAACTCCCAAGAAAACTCACATGCTCGTTGGGACTAGCCAGCTACCAAAGCTCAATCCGAAAGAGGCGAACATGGGGGGCCCATATGGTCGGGTTTACTGGCCCCCAGGGATGGAAGAATGGCTCCGCCCTCGGAAACGTAGATTGATACCTAAAGTCAGACCCCGGGTGGGTGGGGCAAAGAAGAGAGAAGAGGAGTCGTCACTAGAGGAAGGAGAGGGCGAAGACTATTTAACACTCACGAATACATCATCTGACAAAGAGGAACCAGCGAAACGACGAAAGTTCACTGCAAAAAGTGAAGACCAAGAGATCCAGAGCCCTGAAAACCCTTTTGGAAGAAAGTTGCGAGCAAGAAAAAATGTTACGCTGTAATGGCAGCAAGCGGTAAACACTCCAAAGGTCTGTTACACGACAGAAGCTGCCAGTTCTTCGGGATTGAGCTCTAACTTATTGAAAAGGTTGGCCGAACATCGGAGTCTTCAACATCGGCAGTCTCTAGCTCCTTGATCCTCAAAATGACATCCAAGCTACAGTACTGAGCCAGAAAAGAATGATGACCTTCCCGTATATTTTCGTGGAGAGCGATCGATGATTCCTGCCTACCCATTTGTATCATTCTGTTTTGGCTTGACTTTGATACTATACATATACTCTTAGCTCATACAGAATATCTCACCACACCTTTTGCTTCATCTGGGCTTTTTAAATGAGAGGTCCCTACCATCATGGGCCATTAATACATATTCTCGTTCGATTTACCGAGGAATTTCCAGGTTGATCTCCGATCAGGTAGGCATATTAGCTGAACAAGCATATAATATCAGTAGTTAGCTATGCAGGGTTTGGGGAGCAGAATATTGGCCAATCAGCTAGAGTGTGGTGATAGATATGACTGTATTAGAAATAAGGAAGTATGGTTTTGTCAAACTTCAGCTCTGCCTACCATTAGTGTGGGCTCACTCCTTTTGGTGTAGTGGCAGACTTCGACACGTTTTAATTATCAGATTAGCTGCCGAGAACTTCTTAGTTTCATATCGTTGCTTCACTGTTGAGGCGCATCCCATAGCTCGAGGGTGTGGGTCTCTGCGGCAAAGGCAGCGAATAATATCCTTCAGTTCCAGGCAAGCTTGGAAATTGAGTGATTAGTCAGAAAGCTTTCTCAGACGACATATCATTGTTGCTCTTTGGAGCGAGCTCCTTTCGTATTTCTAGTATCGGAAATAATGTATGAAGAGTCTACATTGATCGCGCGGGTTCGTGCTATTCTCATCACACTAACAGGCGGAATACTTTTCAGTTTACTTGTTAAAGGGCTTATTTAAGTAACTAGTGCAAATATGGGCGGTCAAGTCATTTTGGTACTAGACGAATTGTTGAGCGGGATTGGAATCGAACTATCCCGTAGCTAATCATTCGTCTTTGGTACCCGACAGTTTCCGAGATCTTGATGCCCTTGCAACTCGTGGATGTACTGCCAAGTGTGACGATTCTTGGAGCAGATTACAAATCATGTACCCAGGCCTGCAGCCCGATTCGGTGACTTTCGTGTCTTATTTATATGTCGCCGGCGGAAGACGAGAGGGACACCGTGAATGGGGATCGCTCAACACGCGTTGAACAACAATTTCGCTACCGAAATCATAAATTCAAGTGGATACCCTGCAACGCAATTTACCTCTTCCTCTATGTGCTTTCATAGTTCAAATATTGGCAATATATGAACCGGTTTCACCTATAGAATAGCTACTACTCCAATCTCGTGGCCATATTCAGCACATATATGCATTCATCCTTCACAAGTCATATATTGCCAAACAGGGGTGACTTTCCAACAACGTTGAAATGCAATCCGCACGACCTATCATCTCTCATGTCAAACGACATGACCCTGTGATAGACGGGCCGGCTCCTCAGATCACTGAGTACAAACATTTTTTCTTCCCTCGCCTCGCCTGTATGAGCAAAACTCATCTAGAGGCATGGATCTTCGATGCCGTCGACTTAACAACCAGCAATGTTGCAGTAACTATGACATTTTTCCGAGACGGAACGCAAGCTGCATTAGGAAAATGCCCAATACGTACCACATTTAGAGCCAGCTTGCCAGATGGGACAAAGATTGCAGGTGAACTTTTCGCTACAGAGAGTGTTGTGGAAGCCCTCCCAGAGGACGGAAAGATCACCGGGAAATGGGTAGGAGGAAAGAAAGAGGACGAGCCTGGCGATGCAGGATGGGCACAGTACGAAGTGTCACTTGATATGTCTGAGGCAACTGTTACCATTAACCTGCCCACTATCCGGGGGACTTTAACGCTTCAACAACGAGGTGGGAGAAATATTGAAAACTCTACAGAATCCCAGTTGATGGGGCCTGGCCTATCTTGGGTTCATTCAATTCCTCGTGCAAAGGCAACTGTGGACTTCGCTTTTATCCTGGACGGAGAATCCAAAAACCTACAATTTGAAGGATATGGAGGTAAAGACTACTGCCGTTCTACCGAGCCTATGCAAGATATGATGGAAGGCACTACCTACGTTCGAGGCCACGCGGGTCCTTACACATTCGCACTCTTCCGTCTTTTCAGTCGTCTGCATCCCGGCAAGACATATACTCGGGCCACTTTGGTGAAGGAAGATGCATTACTTTTTGAAATGGTCTCAGATGACAGTGTCTCCTTGAGTGACAATTACTTATCGTTCCGTTCTACCTACAGTGGAAAGCTTAGGGGAAACTACTCTGACCACACGACGGGCTACAGAATTGATTTCGTATCTCCCAGTCAGAATAAGCACTGGTCTTTTGAGCTCAAACATGAGACGTTGTGGTGGAGCATGCCTACGGAGGCACCTCCCGCAAAAACAGGAAATAATGGCTTCATCTCAACAGTAACTGGAGGCGAAATAGGTGAGCTGGCAAAGCAAGGGATGGCTACCATTGTACATATTCAGATGACGGCACTGAAATCAGACTATAAAGGGATCAGTAACCGTCAACTGTAAAGTTCACAGCGACAAGGGGTGTCAAGTGTTACTTGATGAACTGAGAATATAGCTCCAGATGTCATTATCCTTCCTTTGAATTTAATTATACATGGAGCAACCTAGTCTCAACGCCTGCCGCCTGCAGGCTTTACGTTTTTTTTTTTTTTTTTTTTTTTTTTTCCTTCATTTGGTTTTGACTGATTTCAACAATAAGTCACCGCTAATCTGCAAAGGCACAAGATCCTACCCCTTTCAGGGACGAATGGAATGGATTCGCTTCCGTTCTTCTAGAGGGCATGATTTTTAACTTCAGATTTCGGCGACAACACTTTCAGAGCCTTGCACCTATGGCCGATGGCGCCGATTCGGGGATTTTCGGATGTTGAATTGCGACTATGCTTCTATGACCAGCGCCGAGGAGATTTCACGATGTAACGAGAGAAAATATAATGCATTGCCCAAGCTGCTCTCGTTGCTAGAAAATAAAAAGGATCAAGCAGGAGAAAATCCGTGCACTGTTCTCTTCTTTCTAGTCATACTGCAGAATCTGGACTACGAAACGCAGCAATGACCCAGCTCCCGAACAAACAAACGGCCCTTACCTTTGGAAGTGATGGAAACTTGCGGGTCTCCCACGAAGCCCAGGTGGCCACACTCAAGCCAGATATGATTATTGTTAAAACAGCAGTGGTATCGGTAAATCCCGTTGACACTAAGATGGAAGCTGGGTTTTCAAAACCTGGCCTGATCGGGGGGTGTGACTTTGCCGGCGTTGTTGTGGCAGTGGGCTCAGGGGTAAAACGAAATGTCAAAGTTGGCGACCGAGTTAGCGGCGCAGTGATGGGATCTGATCCCCTGGACCCTTCGTCTGGAGCTTTTGCAACTTATGTCAGTGCCCCGGCCGACATAACCCTGACTCTTCCCGAAAATGTTCCCTGGTCTGTCGGTGGAGCGATGTCCACTATCTGGTTCACTGCTGGCCAAGCCTTGTTCCAAAATCTCCTGGCAGAGCTAGATGTCTGGCCAATACTGCGCCCGGCAAAGGAACCCAAGACTGTTCTTGTTTACGGCGGAAGTACTTCAGTAGGGACAACTGCGATTCAACTTCTCAAACTCGCGGGTCTCCGCCCTATAGCAACTTGTTCTCCCAAAAACTATGAGCTGGTCAAGAGCTACGGAGCGGAAGAAGTCTTCGATTATCGCTCCTCAACCTGTGCTGAAGACATCAAAAAGGCAACTAGGAACAACTTGAAATATGCACTTGACTGCATCTCGACGAAGGGTTCGATTGATATCTGCTATGGAGCCATTGGCCGCGCTGGCGGTCACTACACCTCCTTAGACCCTTTCTGGGAGTCAACAGCAAATACTAGGAAGGCCATTAAGGCTACGTGGATTGTGGGCATATCAATGCTGGGTAAAGATATTGCTTGGCCACCACCTTATGAACGGCCAGGCAGCGAGGAAACAAGGGCGTTCGGCGGGAAACTGGCTCAAATCCTCCAGAAAATACTCGATGAGAAAAAGATGAAGCCGCATCCGCTTAGAATCAAGGAACAGGCAACATGGCATGACGTCCTCGAGGGGCTGGACGAGGTGAAATCAGGAAGAGTGTCGGGGGAGAAGCTTGTTTTCGTTTTCTGAACTGTTACTTCACGATGTAGTATAATCTTGCAACCCTATCCAAGTGCAGCGCTCAAGAAACCTATGAGTTTTCTCGAGATAACCAATCTTAGACAATATCGTGCTCATGCACTCTGTCAATGGAGTCCCATCTTTGTACGGAGTAGCGGGCACAGGGATATCCTAGCTTGTTGGTGATGTGACTCTCAGGACCGGCGTGTCGGTCATACCTCGTTATGGAAATTGGAAACCTTTTGCGCAGGTAAGATATCACGATAGATTAACAACTGGCCTAACGGAGAATTCCAGGCAGTTATATTTTTGTTTTTAACCCGATGCGAGTGGGCTGTAACTCGCTGGCCTCTACGGAAGACGGGATGCGTCGCGCCAAGCTTTCAGCTCTTTTGATGTGTATTTTTGGCAAGTTAGTTAAGCTTAACTAATAAGCTTATTAATTAGGTTAGCCATCCTCACCAGACGACGAAGATCGCCTGCCTCGTGTTTTTGTGCTCCTCATAAAGCCAACAGACATGGCAGCTGGGGAGTATGATCGTGACGATGCATTCTCCTTGCTCCCTTTCGAGGCTGTTAATTATCCGGTTAGTTCTGGGAGGCGGACGGTCCCAAAAGGGATACGGCACAAGTCACCCATGGCCTTCCCAACTTCGCAGCATACGAACCGCGAACTCAAAATAGGAATTAACTGGTCCGCTATATGGCCAGGTAATATCATAATTCTTCGAATTTGTAAGTGGTTGTTGACTAGTTAGCTAACTGCCAAGTCTTACATACATTTGCAGCATCGTGTCTCTGGTTTTTGGCTCCGAAGGGAGTGCGTGTTTCAGCTCTCCCAATAACATTACCCCATGGTTAATATGCAGCCTACTCCGCCCCAGGATAGACGGAGGAGTCCAACTGCAACCTCATTTTTCCATGATCGTACGGGATCAACAAGGGCAGATAGTTGCATAACACTCCCTACATGTTTTTTTGTACACGTGGAAATGCTTGGGGAAAATAGAACTCGTGGCTAAATCGATAACCATGGCTGCCGACCCAGGCCGGACGCTTCACTCGTTCGTATTTCACTTTTTAGCTTCAGTGTACTTACAAGACTAGAGGGGCTTGCATCGCCATCGAGGAATTCAACTTCACTGCACTGACAAAGTTGATGTGCAGGAGAGGGCTTCTTCTATACCAAAACCTCACTGTTTAGTCTTGCTCCTTCAGGACTATTAGCCGCGTTCTCCTACTCACATTTTATACGGAGGGCAGGAAACCAACTGAAAATATATACCCTCTTACAATCCCTTCTCTGCCCTCTGGCTGGTCATTGGTTGGCCTGTCAGCGGGAGAGGGAGACTGGGCACTCTTGGCCCCGGCTTAATCCTTGGGTTGTTCAGGGACTTAAGAATGGTTATTATTGCTAGTTTTCGTGAAGTAAAACAAGCTCTTACCCAAGACTTCTTATGTGTGGTCAACTCTGATACCCACTCTTAAATGATTGCAGAGGCGCCCTCTGTTTTTTTTGAGTAACCCGATGCTCTTGGAATAGCCTATGCGTTCAATACGAGAAAGACCATGCTTGAATATATGTAGATCAACCCTGGGAGGAAGCCCACCATTGTCTTCAACCACAAAGCGACTAATTCAGTTTGTTCTTTTGATAATGCATTTAGTTCGCTCTCTACCTTCCATTCTTCAGGGCTTACGGAGTATTTAAAGCACATATCTTTGGATGAGCTGCACATCTTTCTATTGAATGGAGTCATAATACCTTCTTCACTATCCTTGATATGGTCGCCCCCTCTCGTTCTAGAACATTCCAGTTTCTCCAATGCGCTCACGTCGCACCTCAAGACTACCAAAACAATGTTAAGAGATCCAAAATTTGCAGCAAAACCTGTCCACGATAGGCCACAAGGTCAAAAGAGAAAGACTAGGCAGACAAGCTCAACTGAATCACGATTACGCCTGGCTTGCAATCGATGTCACGCCCAAAAACTAAGATGTTTACGGTCCGATGGTACCGAGCCTGGGAGTAAATGCGAACGTTGTCGGCGTGCATCTGTTCCGTGCGTCTATAGCCCTCCGAATCGTATAGGACGGCCTGCAAGATCAGGAGTATCGTCTACGACTTCGGTTGGTGGTTCTTTAAAGTCAGATGGCGGGATTATCCCTCTCAATGCTCCTCGGCGATCATCTGCAAGCTCTCCACTACGATCAAGCCCTCAACCACTCTTCCCTCTTCGCCAGGGGGCTACTGTTGACTCACCCAGTGATGATTCCGGAATGTTCGATCTTCACATAGATGAATCAAATATTAAAATTGATATGCTATCATTTTATAATGATAGTGTACCGTTTCTGGAGAGCTCGGCGGCTCTAGTTACAGAGAAGCCAATTATGCAAGACGTGACGTCTCAAAACATACCGGTTTCTCCACATACCAAGGAAACCAGCGAAATGCCTAGGGGTCAATGCTCCCCCACGGAGATGGCACCTGATAACTATGTTCGAGAACTTATGGTATTTGGGTTAGCACAGTATGATCAGCTTCGCTGCCTGCAAAGAATGAGGAACTGCACTGGCAACGATAAACGGGGGGTATTCTCACGGCTGCGCAACTATCCAATACACGGAATGCTGGAGCATGTTCGAAGACTCACTGAACTCATAAGGCAGCTGATGCCTATATCAGACAGTAGCGATAGTTCGCTGCATATATTATGTTCGGAACTTGTCAGCGAAACTATTCCCGACATCGACTCATGTCTATTAAATGAGGAAGCCTTAATGAACGACTTTTCTAACATGCTAGCACACCCGTTTTCGGAATCCTGTCTCAGCTCCGGTGATAGCATCAGCCAATTATCTCCTCTCACGCCAAGCAAGCAAACACCAGTCGATACTTCCACGATTCTTCTGTTTGTTTCCTGCTACCTTCGCCTTGCACGAGCATTTGCCTTGTTCTTTACGGACCTCCACGCCTTTCTCCTTTTCCCAAGTGCCATTGATCCCACCCCCACTGGTGAACTCCGAATATTTCCAGGACTAAAGCTGGGCTCCTTTCAATCTTATGTAGGAGTAAGCTTGGAGATATCTATAGCTATCCAGGTCAGCGAGCGCATGTTATGTCGCCTCCACGACTCACTTGGCCTATCCTGGAACCAGTGCAGTTCAGAAAGCCTTCCCAACTCTCAATTGTCGGCGGATGCATGGAGCAACGCCGATACAATCACTCGGGCCATGATAAAAACCATCCAGGCGCAGGAAGAAATAGATGCGCAAGATGAGAGGGGTGATACATTCACAAGGCTATTACTGACAATGGAGAATGTTAAAAAGCTGGTCAAAACACAGCCATTCTTGTGAAATTTTTGAAACTGACACTCTTCAACTTTATTTTCCTCAGTTTCTTCTTTGCTATATAAGTGTTAGAAGTTGGACGCATACGGGAAGTCATAGGATCTATATTTACGAATATCGCTATGTAACCCCTCAATAGATTCGCAAGCCAGGTTATATCGGATACTGGCCAAACAAATGGCATGCACCTCTGCCCTGGCTTATGAACTTTATAGCTTCCTCGCTGGCTCTCTTATTCATAACTTTCAGGTCTCGAAAGAACTATGGTATACAAGTGAGATGATTACGTACTTATTGGGTACATATTTATCGAGATACCATTTCTCTGTAATATTAGCCCACACCCAGCGTTGCAACCTGCGAACGACCAAACCAAGTCTCTACTGCTCATTTTCTTTTATGCCTTACTCACAGCACCCTATATCATTCATTACGGCGTAAGGTAAGGCTTACCAAGAAAAACAAGCATCCAAGGACATGCTTCGGCAGAGAGGTATCCTCGTAGATTTCTTTATCCCGTCATCCAAGCCCACTCTAAACTGGGGTTTCTCTCTCTGCTCAAATATTTGTTCCTAGATGGTAAAGAAAATCTACGGAGCAGTCCGGGCTCAAAGTGAAGATAACTATCACTAGTACCCCGGAACCAAAGACGATCCATTGCTGATCAGGGTTGCGAGATGCTTTGGTTGAAATGCTTCTCTAAACCTTTGATAAGATGCAACGCCACTAATTTGAGGACCATGCTTGGGGGCGTTGTACTAATTAGTATGTTATACGAGAAGTAGGGGGAAACATCATGGAATTGCAAGCTGAAAAAGGAGAAACTTCACGGATCAATAATTCAGTTAACTATAAACATTCTCTCCTTTACCCCCATTTTTGCCATGTTCTGGCCTAAGATGCGCATGTTATACCTTCGAATAGACTGGAGATTGATGGTTAATTGGGAGATACAGATGGAAGACCTAGAGTTTTATAGTGTTTGTTTCCTTAACCCGCTACCGCTCTTGTGGCATAGCTTAATCTCTATTGAAGAGAAGGTGCAACAATAAAGCATGTAACCGCAATGGAAATGTATTCAACGCAACCTTTTCCCGCCAGATAGATGCAAAACTGACTAATTACATGATTTTTTGGCCATTTATCCTGTTGTTTCGGGTCGTACTCGGTACGAGTATGTAGAATAATAGAATAATACCGATTATACGCTCCTTTTCAACGAAAAAGCGTAGACTGGGTTCGATATATATATGAAAAAGCTCTTTGCACAGAACTAATCGAAGGTCTTTGATATTTGCATTCCAGGGTATGCGATTTTAAGAACCCATAGTCAGCTTCATCCTCCAGATATACGATCTGAGCGGTGCTAGGGGAGATCCGGTAACCATGTCGTACTACGGCAGGTAGTTAACACTGTCATAAATGACTTCCAGAGGAGTTATTAGGTAGTTAATCTCATAGCGCCGGTCCCTGTGGAGTACCTCCCAGTGTCAACATTTTGGAATTCGATCCAGAGATGGTTGCGTTGTAGACGCTTCCCTCCTGACGTCCACATGCCCCAGATGTATTTATGCGGCTGGCACTTCTAGCTGTATGTTACAACTCTTTTCCATCGTTGAAGCACACCTGCCTTGTGCCGGGTGAGGTTATTTGAATCATAAATCAATGAACCCAGCATCAATCCAGTGTAAAAAAGCTACTGGACCTATGGTTCCATCAATTCACATCTCTCGTACACGCTTCGCTGCCCGGGATGTTAGGGAATCGTCTGGTAGGCCGCTCCGCTTTGTGCCGGGTAAGCTACTGGTGCGGATATCGTTGTCGTCCTGGCTTACCCGTCGGTTTGGGTATTTCCCCTCAAATCCTTCGAAGCAATTTGCTGTAATTGGGCTGCCCGTTGAAAAGTATGGGTGCTCTAATGCCTCCTTTGCCGTAATCCTTTTCGCTGGGTTATATTCTAAAAGCCGTGAGAGAAGGTCAAAGCCTTCTTTTCCCGGAGTTCCTGCCGTTGATGATGGAGAATATGAACCGTTCTTCAAACAGGCGTTATACCATGGCTCTAAGCTCGATGGCTTATGTATATGGCTTGTCCCAGGGCCCAACGCAAAAGCTTGAAGCTGGCCATATTCGGGCATCGAAGCTAAGCCAGGCCAGTTTTGCTTCAGGGGCATCCCAAGAATTTCCATGATTTTCAGCATTTGATTTCGTTGAAAAGGCACATTTTTCTTGCTATCCATCTTTGCCTCCTCTCCCTTGAATATTGGGCGGAGAGATAGTAGCTCAGCGAATATGCACCCAACCGCCCAGAGATCGACAGCTGGGGTGTAATGCCGGCAGCCAAGGAGTAATTCAGGTGCGCGATACCATATTGTCACCACGACCTTATCACCAGAAAATAGCGAGTTTAGCGGTTTATAAAATAACCGGGCAAGCCCAAGGTCGCCAATCCTTACTGCACCGCAAGAAGTAACCAGTATGTTAGCTGGTTTGAGATCACGGTGCAGAACCCAGTTTGAGTGAAGATATAGAAGTCCGTTGAGTAGCTGGAAGAGAATTGACTTCACCATCGGTGCAGGGATGGCATGTCGCTGAGGCTGAGTATGATGGTGTATTATCTGCAGGAGATCGTGCTCGGTATACTCAAATACCATAAAAATGCATCGATCCTCAAGAATAATCTCGACAAGTCTTACGACATTAGGGTGGTTTAATTCAGTACACAGAGCAATTTCTCGAACTGCAGATTGCGAAAGCCCTGTGTATTGGATTGTTTCTCCTTCTTTATCAGGTTTGAACCTAGAGTTATTTTTTTTGTTAGTATTAGCTTAATAGATGATGAAGAGGTCCTTTACTTTTTGATAGCAAATTCGCCTTTTTGTCCATTTTTACCAACGGCCTTATAGACTCGCCCATAGGTACCACTGCTTATAAAACCAACAATATGGTATTTCTCTCTTATGCGGACTTTGCTAGTATAACCGAAGCCTGGAGACTTTATCTGGTTGGCAGAGTCTATATTCATATGTTAGCGAGTATCCAGGGGTAACCGGAGGCACGGGTTGTAGCCAAGATCATGAGAATATCATCGAGCATAGAGAGAAATAAACAGTATGAAGACTGCCAGTTAGATATTTGTGGATAGATAAACAACTAGCGTTATACTTCTTTGATAATAGATCCAAATTGTGGTTGTCAATCGGGGTTGAGGTAGCCGGTAACGCCGGAGATGGCAGGAATCAGACACGTCATTATTCTCATTGATCAACAGTGAAGAATATGAGACCATTACAGAAATGTCATGCTAAAACTTGAAAGGTTCAAATAAAAGGGTATAAAGGGAACTATTCAGCGTAATTTGAAATCAGGGTTGGATATCAAAAAGTGCATGTGTTCTGAGGGCAGGATAAATTGGTGAAAAAGTTGTCTTTGAGGTATAATGCGGGTGAAAGCCCTCGGGTTAGCCTTGGGAAGTTGAAACTGCCTTACCATCGAAGGCCACTTGTACGGTACGGTGTATGCCTTTGGTCGTTGATCGAGAAGCCATCTGAAGGAGGTGGAATCGAAATAGGCACTCAAAAATTTAGCGAAGAAAAGAAAGGGAAAAAAAATTATGAAAATGTCAAGCAGGTCATTGGAAACAATAATACAGTCTAGAAAATAAGAATTAAAAAAGAAGCCATTATATCTATCTCTATTGATCCATGCCGGTGGTTGTTCTTCGGAGCGTCGCAAACGCTTTGCGGACGGGACGTTTTGATGGCTCCGGCCCGAGCGGCCAAGATGGGTCACGTGAACATCCCGACGTCCATTGTATATTTGCCTCCGAATACTCAAATTCTACGTCTGATTCTCTTGTGGCTGTCGAGCATGCTGCTGCGATGTGTTTAATATAATTGATTTGCACGCTGGTACACAATTTCTACTCAGAATAACGAGACTCAGTTACACGCTTTATCCTGTATGATGGTTGAGGGCGCGGAATATTTCCTCCCTTACCATGAACAGTCAGGACAATCCTCGTCCGGTCCACTCCCACGTAAAAGAATTAAAAAAAAAAAAAAAAAAAGACTATCCCTGTCTGTATCCAGGTATCCAGTGGCCATCCTGGGCACAGCCGCAGTCTTTTGTGGTGAGGTAGGCTTTGCGATAGCATCTCTGGCTGAGCCAAACGGCGTTTTCAGATGGTATGGCGAGGAAGATGTCGGGAGTTCGAAGCTACATTTGATAGTTCCGTGGGCCATCGTCTTATGTACCATCGCTGGACCTTAGGACATGGGGGTATTTAGTATTTCATTATATCGTGACTATGACTAGATCCAGCGTCCAAGCAAAAAAAGAATACAAATACATGTGCCAGAAGTCAAAATAAGCCATCGCACTGTACCGATGGGATACTTATCGACAACAGCCGAGAAAACAAAACCAAGGTTCTTGACTCAGTACCCTGTATACCACGTAGAGAGTATTTGCTCAGTAAATAGCTTCGATATGGACTGGGTAAGGAGTCACTACTTACCACTCTGTTCTCTTCGATTGTCTCCCTTTTTGTCATCCTCTACCTCGTCTTCATCGCGAGAAGTAGAGGGCTTCCCACCGGCCTCTCGAATGGCTTGGTCATCACCTCTGAGTTTCTCAAAATAGGATTTAATATCTTCTGCTCCAACCGCTTGGCCACTCTCAGCGAATGGTTTCAGGAATTCCTTCACTTTGTCACGAAGATGATTATAAACCATGACCCCTTCGATCGCCTTGACTCGGTCCAAGTTGCTAAGTGCAGCTTCGCCTCTGTCCAGGAGACTCCCAGTGTGAATGCTTCCGGCACTATTGTTAGCATTCTGTCCATCACCATCTTCAGATAGTGGGGGCTCGTAAACATCTTCTTCCTCACGGAGTTGACGGTTGGGTTCGAGATTAGGGAAGCATTCCACACATTTACACAAGTGATCGCGGAAGTCTTCTTTGACGAAGAGCGAAAACTGCCTTTCAGGGATATCCAATGGAAGCAAATCGTGTTTTTCCTTCGTCTTTGTCGTTTGAGTGTTGGGTTCAACCAAATGCGTTGAGGACTCCTGTTTTGCTCGTTTCACGCCTGGCTCGATAGAGTCTTCATCCTCAAGTGCTCTCTTTTTGCGCGGGATAGCGAGTGGGTCAGGAGTATGGTTCCCCCTGTCTTTTAGTGACTTGCCCGAATCTCCCAGCACCGTGTCCTTGAGGTACACTGGAGGGAGAAATCCGGGTGTCCCCGCATACCGCTTTAGCCACGGATTAGAGTCCAAGCATTTATAACATATAAACGTCTCAAAGTCATCCTCATCAGGAAACCCGGGTGGTAAAGGCAAGTCTTCGTCCTCTTCTTTATCAGTGCTCGCAATACGAGGTAGCCCTATTAAACATTCGGGATGCCACCAGTCTTCTCCACAGCCACCAGTTTCAACTGTGCCAATACCAAGGCACTGGAACATCGTCCCCTTCTCCTTAGTAGGATCATATGTGTCACTGCAGCCACAGAATCTGTTCCTGAAGTTTTGATTGTATTTATTATCCGGAGTCGGATCCTCCGAGTGGGCGCCTTTCTGGCCAGTAGTCGGGTCTGCTCTCAAGGTACAGGGGGATGCCGATGGTAACCTTCTAGTGCCGCAGTCACAGGTGAAGTTGCGCTTTGTGAATAGTTCAACCAACTCGTGCTCTCCATGACACGAAATAGAGCAGGAGTAGCACACACCAGCAGCATTATAGGGGGAACTGGGGTTTTCTGGGGGAGGATTGCAAGTGAGGCAGGAAAAAAGACTTTGTCGTAGAGCCCCAAGCGGTCGCGTGCAAGTATCAAATGACTGAATATAGTTGTGTTAGTCTTCGAGCCTGCGAGGGTAAGTGGCGGACGCTCTAGCGACATACATATGGCAAGGCTTCCCGCGCGTCAGCCTCCAGCTTCAACTGTTCATTTATGAATCTAGTAGGCAGCTATTAGAGCCTCACTCTGATCTGAGGAAATTTGTCGTCGGCGACAATAGTTCTCACTTACTCAGATGCCGTCTGAGAGTTCTCGGATACGAAGCTCTCGCGTCTCTTTGGGGGAGCTTCAGCGCCATCTATCTTCGCATCCGCCGGATTAGAAGCCAGGTTTGGATCCATGTCCCGTGCAGCATGCAGTAGCAAGCAGTATGATATCGGAAGCTGGGCTGACAATCAGCTGCAGCAGTTATTCCTCAGCTTGTTTGGCTTTCTCCTTCGTTTTGCGCATCTTCGGGTGTTTCTTTCTCGTCGCGAGCTAGAATGTTGGTGTCTGTTTGACTTGTTTGCACTTCTTCCCCGTTTAGGCTAAATTGGATAACGCGGTTATTTTTGGCGCGACGCGACTCGTTCGCGCGCTTCTTCTGGTATCAAACAAATCAGCCAACGAGCTTTTCGTCCCTCCCGCGCGGCATCGGACAGACAACGTCTAAAGCGCCAGCAATATCAAAGACCGGGCAGACATATTTCGCTCCCTGATAAGGCAGGAGTTTACGGTGTTGCTATTCATTTTACTTGTAAAGCTCTAACAGCGGAAGGTTATAGGAAGTGAATTTCTCACAATGAGGTAACCCCTACATCCCACCAAGACTGCTAAATTCACGCTAGGTCCATGGATAATTCTGACTTCTTTCCGATTTTATATAGCTCTCCTTTACGCCCAAGTAACTCTGCCGGTAACCGAGGGCGAACAAATCTGACCAGCAGGAAGCGTGGTCATGACGGCCTGGATGATAACTCCTCAGCACCGCCCCCTTCGAGCCGTAAGCTAAACCTGTGGTCGGTCGAAATACGGCTTTTATCTTAAGATGGTTTCTAATCAGCAAATTTAGCGCCTCCTTCCTCCCCGCCAATGCTGCCTCTTGATGAGGCTGAGAATGAAGATGACATAGCGGCGGAGGAAGGGTTTGTCCCCGATATAGACGACCTAGAGGAGATGGCTGAGGATGACGATGGCATTGATCTTTTCGCAGACAACTTCGAAAGAGATTATGCCAATCGTCCCGATGATGGCTATGCGGGGGTCGACATCGATGACGCAGATCAAGAGGAACTAGACCCGGCAGCAAGACGACAACTTGAGGCACGGCTCAATAAACGAGACCGTGAAATAGCTCGGAGGAGAAAAATGCCGGCTGCTTTCCTACAAGAAGACGACTTTGATGGTGTCCCCGATCTATCGCTACAGACACGCAGACACAGACGCAATTATGACGAGGAGAGCCAGGACGCTGACATGGATGACCCAGAAGCTGACCTAACGCTGGAAGATATGGCCGACATCAAAGCTGATAATCTTACGGAATGGGTAGCGACTCCAGCTATTCATCGGGCAATCTACCGAGAATTCAAATCCTTTATAACGGAGTTCACAGACAAGGACGGCATTTCAGTCTATGGTACTCTTGTGAAGAATCTCGGAGAAGAGAACTCAGAGTCTCTTGAAGTCGCATATCCTCACCTTAGCGAGTCAAAATCGATCATTGCATACTTCCTGGCGAATGCTCCAGCTGAAGTGCTCAAAATTTTCGACCAAGTGGCTATGGAAGCTACATTGCTGCACTACAGAGACTATCATCGCATCCATAGCGAAATCCATGTGCGAATCACTAACCTACCCGTGAAATACACCCTACGACAACTTCGGCAAAGCCATCTCAACTGCCTTATCTGTGTTAGCGGTGTGGTTACAAGACGAACTGGTGTTTTCCCGCAACTGAAATACATTATGTTCAACTGCAGCAAATGCGGCATCACCCTTGGGCCTTTTGAGCAAGAGTCAAGTAGTGAGCTGAAAATCTCGTTTTGTCAAAACTGCCAAAGCCGTGGGCCCTTCACATTGAACTCTGAGAGAACTGAATATCGTAACTTCCAGAAATTAACACTTCAAGAATCTCCGGGGACTGTGCCGGCTGGTAGACTCCCGCGCCATCGCGATGTTATTCTTTTGGCGGATTTGATTGACTCTGCCAAACCCGGTGATGAGGTTGAAATCACTGGTATTTACCGCAATCAATACGATCTTCCAATGAGTCAAAGAAGTGGATTACCAGTCTTCAGCACAATTATCGAGGCTAACCACATTGTCAAATCTCATGACCAACTGGCTGGATTCCAGTTGACTGAGGAAGATGAACATCAAATCCAAACCTTATCTAAGGACCCTAATATCGTCGAGAAAATCATTGCCTCGATTTGCCCAAGTATCTATGGCCATGAGGACGTCAAGACTGCGGTCGCTCTTTCCCTGTTCGGTGGCGTCAGCAAAGTGGCTCAAGGGAAAATGAACATTCGTGGAGATATCAACGTACTATTGCTTGGTGACCCAGGTACCGCCAAATCGCAAGCTCTAAAATACATAGAAAAAACTGCCCATCGTGCAGTATTTGCTACTGGGCAGGGAGCTAGTGCAGTCGGTTTGACTGCGAATGTGCGTCGTGACCCAATGACCAGTGAATGGACCCTTGAAGGCGGTGCGCTAGTGTTGGCTGATAGAGGTACCTGCTTAATCGACGAATTTGACAAGATGAATGACCAAGACCGCACCTCTATTCATGAAGCAATGGAGCAGCAGACGATATCTATATCAAAGGGCGGTATCGTTACCACACTCCAGGCCCGGTGCTCAATTGTTGCAGCTGCAAACCCTATTGGGGGGCGCTATAGGGGTACGCTTCCTTTTTCTCAAAACGTCGAACTCACCGAGCCTATTCTTTCTCGTTTCGATATCCTCTGTGTCGTTAGAGACATGGTCAATCCAGACGTGGATGAAGGCTTGGCTTCATTTGTGATGAATTCGCATTACCGCTCGAACCCAGTTAAAGATGCACAAGGGAACCCGGAAGAAGATGTGTCAGAAGACTCTCCTGAATCCAGGTTTAAGGCACAAAGAGAGGATGCCATCCCGCAAGAACTTTTGCGCAAGTATATCGTCTACGCACGGGAGAAATGTCATCCAAAATTATATCAAATAGATGAAGGCAAAGTCGCTGAGGTCTTTGCTGATTTGAGACGAGAAAGCCTGGCCACTGGTGCATATCCTATAACGGTATGTGCTTTTCTATCGTATTTTTGCTAATTTCCCCAATGTCACTTTACCTCTTCCTCTGTGCAGCCCTAACCTACCATTAATAGGTACGACACCTTGAGTCAATTATGCGAATCGCTGAAGCATTCTGCAAAATGCGCCTATCCGAATATTGTTCATCTCGCGATATTGACCGTGCGATTGCTGTAACTGTTGACTCCTTTATTGGTAGTCAGAAAATAAGCTGTAAAAAGGCTCTCTCACGGGCATTTGCCAAGTACGTTTTATTGATACTCTTCGCATTTGCTTTGCGTATACAAGCATCTAATTTGGTCTAATAGGTATACCCTTAACAAACCCAGGGTAAAACGGGATGGGGGTCCAGGCCGTAACTCTTCGTCCACCCGTAACTGAAAACTGAAGAAGTTAATACGAATGCCATGATAATTAGGATTGCTTGGACCTCTACTAATACGGAATTTATTGGCCTAATGATCGGTTCCTATGGTGTCTCTGACGTGAAGTCATGAATCCGATAGAGTAATCAATGAATATTTAACCTTGTGCAAAGTGCTATATGCTTTTTTAAAGCATATTCATAGATCTCCCAATAAGTATTCATCAATTAATAGTTTTATACCGCAATCTAGCTGGTTCTCGTCGAAACTCGCATTTGTACATTCCCAAGGGTTAATTAAGCCTTTTCGATGTTTAATTCCACTGATTATACCAGTGGTAGAAATATGTATTTCGATTGACTTGGTGTGGACTACGTTGCATGATTCTTCCAAAGATGAGCCGTCGGAGTTACCGTTACCCATTTATAAAGGGACTAATTACAAACTAGCTCCAAGCAACACTCGATGAGCCCTACTATCTCTTGGGGTTTAGTTATTGACCTGTCGGGTGCTCTAGAGGGTCGAAATATTGGTCCTATGCTGCATCAACTATGTTTGCGAGAAGGAGCCGATTCCAGATAACTACGGATCTACAAATGCATGATTAGTTACATTTGGTTTCAGACAAGACTCAATGCACCTCACTATGATATATATTAGTATGGACAAGGAGGGATTGAAATGCTACTTATGGAATAAGATACGGACTAAACCTTTATATCGCTAAAAGCGTTGTACTCAATTCTTTATTCGATAGCTCAAAAATATTATCATCCCTTTTACTGTTTTACAGTTTCAGAGGTTGCATAAAAAAAAAAAAAAAACAGCTTTCATATTTCCTAAAATCCTAAATTCCAAGTACATCATAAATGATAAAAAACGAAATCAATAAAGCAAAAAAATAAAAAAA